GAGTCTTCCTAGAGGAGGCACTGGGGACATCTTCCATGGGTCAGTCCTAAGGCAGCGACTGGGGATAGGCCAGCCTTACAGCCACCAAAGCAAGCTGAGTGAGAATAGAGTCTGCAATGAGGGCAATTCAGTGCCCCAGGGGCCTATACTAGCAGCACCTGGAGGACTGGCCACGTGTTCAGGGAAGGTTTCCTGGATGAGGTGCTGCTTCTGATTCCTTTGGGGCAGGAAAGCAGATAATGAGTCAGGTTGGAGAAAGTGGAGAGTGACAGGGATGTGGAAAAGAAAGTTCTGCCTTTTCTTGTCCTTAACCCCTGGGAGACCAAGGTCAGGGAGGTGGCAGATTGATGGGCAGGAGCAGCAAAGGAGGGCCGAGGAGGAATGGAGATAGTATCAGGGCCGACACCAGGGTCAGAGCGGGTATGGATGTCGGGCTGGCAGGGAGCAGCTCCCCAGCTGTGGCTGGGAAGCGTTTCCTGTCTCTTTGCCAGGGGGGTCATTAATAATAATTTACCCGCCACAGGCAGCACTGAGGCCAGCCAGAGAGCAGCATGGTGCTGGGGCCAGAGCCCAGCCAGGCAGCCAGAAGAGTTGGATAATGGTAGCAGCCCTGCCACCTCTCTGTGAGCCCTGGTCCAGTCACCTGACCTCTCTTGGTCTCTGGGAATGCTGGTAAAAAGAGGGTCTTATGAGGATGCTGCCTTAAGTCTGTGCCTCAGTTTCCCTAAGTGGCAGCTGGAGAATTGCCAATTATACAGAGGACTATGGACATCTGATAACAGAAAGGAGCTCCTGGACCTTGCCAAGCCCAGCTCAGAACACAGGGATCAAAGACAGGAGACCCAGACCCAGCCTCTGAAAAGCTCTTGTTCTGGCAGGAGTCAGACTGCAATGGGGTGCAAACTTAGGGCCCCAATAGAATTGGGTACAGTTTAGGCTAGAAACATCAGAAGGGAGGAGCCAGCTGCCCAAGGCCTGAAGGGTGGCAGTGTGGCTGCAAACAGAAGCTGGGAGCTCCATGAGGCCAACTTGGTCAACCCTATGACCCCAGCACTGAGAACTGTGCCTGCCCGGCCTAGAGCATGGCTGCATAAATGCTTTTAGGCATCTGTCAAAGGAGACATCTGTGAGGGAGTTGAAAGTTGGAAAGAAATGCCTAAAAGATAATGGTGATGATGATGATGATGATAACAACCATGATGACAATGATTCTGGTCAAAGACAATGCGATGGGACAAGGTAACTTGAAAGCTTGAGAAGGCTGGAGGCCCAGGATTAGCCACTCAGAGCCATGCAGCATTTCTGGGCTTCAAGATTCCTCCTTTTGCCGGTTGGATCAGAATCTTCTTCAGCCCCAGGCTGCATTTCTCTGCCCACCCCAACACCCCTTCAAGGCCCAGCATAAGCCCATTCCCTTCAGACAAACTTCTTGAAGGTAATGCTAAATCCCTGGCCCCCAGCGCTTCTCCTGACTGACTGCGATTGTCTTTGTGCCTCCAACCTTAAGGAGTCCTAGACCTTGATGCCTTCAAATACCTGTTGGGAGGCCACCCAGAAGGTTTCCCATGGCCTCGCTGGAGGTCTAACCTGGATCCTCTACTGACCAGGATCTCCCCCGTCAGACTCAGGGTCCCCAAAGGTGTGATCAGGACTCAAGTCTTTCTTTTCAGATATGGGTATCTATGAGGACAGGAACTACTTCTCTTCCATTAGACATTAGGCGGGGGGGAGGGGGGCAATAAAAGGAGAAAGAGAGAGTGAAGTCTTCCTGTTTGTATTCTAGTCCAGTGACCCTCCTTGGGGGTCACAGCCACACAGAGAAGGGAAGAGGGTAGGGGAGCATAGAGAAGGACTGCTGGGAGATATAAGCCAGAAAGGGTATTGGGCCACAGAACACTAAGTGTGGTTTGCAGACTTGCGGGACTCCAAGCCCAGCCCAGTCTGCTTGGGCACCAAGAGGCGCTACCAGAGACACCCTAGCCTCACCATCTGTACTGGCCCCTCCCTTCTCTGTAGCACGGGGCTGAGGTAGTAGTAAACACAGTGACCTTGCTGACACGTGCATCCTCTTCCCGCCCCCCTCCAAGCCCTGGCCCCAACATAAGTCAGGCTAAGAGGAAAAGAACAAAGGTTCCCGGACTGCGACATCGCCTGCCGCCTGCCTGTCCAGCGCCTGCTCAGCAGGAAACCCAAGACAAAGGCTTTGGTCAAAGTGAGGAGGATAAAGGGCAAAGGGTAGGGGCAGCCTGGGGGAGGCACGGGGCATGGGAGGGCATCTCTAGGGACCTTATGGGAGGGAGGGAGGGAGGGAGAGACAGGATGGCAGCCAAGCCCCCCCTGTAAAGACACGTCACTCCACAAACATTTATGAGGCACCTACTGTATTCTATACACACACCCCAAATATAACATGCCTCGTTCCTCATACTACACACTTTCCTTACCCCCTGCAGCATATTCTACAGCCCTACACACACACACACACACACACACACACACACACCTAGTCACTGGACACACCTCACATCTCACTACACACAAACAGCTAACAGGGAGAAAAGATCACAGATTCCACACTTCACGCTGAAAAGTCACACAGCTCACACACCCACACCGCATGCCACACTCACACTCCATCTCCCACCAGGCACCTCACACACCTCACACTCACCTCCCAACCATAGACACATCATCCAATTAAATTCAACACACACACCACCCAGACATGAGGCACATGCAGACACACCCTGCATAGATAATGTGAACACTTAATGTCACACATTTGTGGGCACACAAAGCCCCTCAGCACAGATAATCCTGCCTGCCCACTGCCTCCTCCTACCACCCTCCTACCCCGTTCTTGGTCCACCACCCTCTTGGCTCTAGCTGCAGCCTTGCCTGTCCAGGGATGCACAAACAGCCACCACTGACACACAAACACCAACACACAGGTCCTTATGTGTTCCCCAAGCAAACCCAGATTGTACCACAGTGACTCTAAACCATCAGGTAGACACTGACACACGTGGACACATACAACCCACCCCTACCACCTCTCTGACAAAACATCCAGGAAAACCCATCAGGTCCCCACCAAGGGACAGGCAATAGCCAATAACAATACACACAATAGCCAATAACATACACAACCACACATGCAATCCCTATGCAAGCTGCCCCACAACTCCACCCCATAATGACAGACACATAACAGACACACACCCAGCTCCCACTCCACACCCACAACACTGCCTCTCTAGCCATACACAGCTTACAACGCCAAAGACCCACAATCCCACACTCACCATAATCCCACTCATGATGACATGATCATACAGAGTACAACACACGAGTACACACCAGGCACACTAACACATGCAACCAGCCCATGCCACACACAAACACATACACCCCAGACTCGCCCAGATGACTGTCTCTCCCATCCCCAAATCCCAGCTGCCTCGGTCAAGACCAGCACAGCAGGGATGAGGGGGTTATAAGTTACCAATGCCAGTGCTGCCACGTGATCTCCACCCTCTTTAGATCTCTGGGCACCACCCGAGGGCAGCAAACTCCATGTTTAGGTCCTTCTACCAGAGCCCACGTAGTGCCAGTCCTGAGAACATGGGGAGGGGTGCAGGTCCTGGGACAGCAGCCCTGTCCTCTGAACCTGTCCTCCCTTTATCCCAAAGCAGAGGCACACTTAAGGGGGAAGAATAACGAGAGAGAGAGAGAGAGAGAGAGAGAGAGGGTGGGGGAGAGAGAGAAGAGAGTTCCTAGAACAGAGACCTAGAGAAATTGGAGAGACAAATAGACCCAAAAAGGTGGGTACACAGGAGAGAAGCAGAGAGGCAGAGAGAGTAAGCCCAAGAGTTAGAGGGAAACCCAAGGAGAAACCAAGAGAATAAAGTAGGACCACCACACCCAGAGAGAAACAAGAGAAGGGGGATACCAGCAGGAAAAGACGAGGGGGTTTTCTATACAAGAGAGAGGGAAGGAATGTGGAGGAAGAGTTCCACAGGGGAGACAAGCCCAGAGGGAAGGTGGTTTGGACCCTGAGGTGGAGTTTGGGTTGAGGACTAAAGTCTAGATGTTTGAGTGGGAATCTGGGGGTTCAGTTGAGGCTGTGGAGTGGAGGTTCAGGTCTTGGGGTGAGGCACCAACTGAGATCTGGCCACAGGGCAGATAGGGGTTCAGGTGGTCTGTGTGTGCCAGCAGTCTGGTATACCCAGTGGAGGCTTCTGGGTTTGGGAAGGGGTCCTCCACTACTCTGGGGGTAGGTGTTGCAGGCTTGAGTAGAGTGGTGTGAACTGGGGTCCCACTGTGGATTAGGAGTTTGGCGCTTGGGGTGGAGTACTGGATCCAAATAGGATTCGGAGTCTAGGGTGGCATTTAGACTGAAAGGTGGGGGTTCAAGGGCTCCTTCTGGATATGGGCTGCTGTCCTAGCACAGACGTGGGGATCAGAACTAGGGGAGGGGTCCTCTCCCCAGGAGGGTTCAGGGGACTCAGGGGAGAGGGGACCGTGGAACTGGCGACTACACACTCGGTAGAGGACCCGGCCCTGGCCAGGCGCTCTCCGGACACCCGGTTCTCGCTGTTCCCAGAATAGGGGGGCCCCCCTACCTGCAGGTTGTCGGCGCATAGCTGCGGCGGCGGCGGCGGCTGCTCGTCCGGCTTGAGGAAGACCTGCTGGCCCCGCCTGAGGAATTGGACAACAGCGATGAGGATGTGGTGCAGCACCAGGACCATGCTCGCAGCAGCCCGCCCGCCCGCCCGCCCGCCGGCCCGGCCGCTGCGCTCGGTCAGCGCGTCCGCGACAGCTTCGCCGGGTCGCGGGAGTGTCCGCCCCGGCCCCGCCCCGGCCCGCCCCCGGCCCGCCCCCAGACCGCCTCAGCCCCGCCCTCCTCCCAGCAACAGGGGACGGTACCTCTCAGCTAGCGGGATCTTCGGACCCCCCAAGACCCCTGCCGCCTCTTCCCTCCCTCATCTCGCCCCTCCCTAGACTCTTCCAGCGTATCGGCTGTTAGGATCCCCTCCTGGAAGCCGGCGCTCAGCCTTCGCTCCCCTCCCTTGCCCCATCACCACTCCTTTCCCTATCTCTCAGGGGTCGCTTCTCAGAGCTTGGTGCCCCGGCCACATCCCCTCCCCTACACTTTGAGTCCTGGGCGGGGCCAGAGCCCCGTGGCCAAGAGAAACGCGGTCCGGGGTGGGAGCGGAGAAGGGAGAAGAAGGAGGGGATCGCGGACACTACAGAGCCCTGGACTTGCTCCTCTCCCTCCGACCCAGAAGGAAGAGGGAAGTCAGGGAGAATTTTAGAGGTCGCTCCAAGACCGACAAGCCCTGAAGCAGTAGCAAATCTGCGAGGGAGACACGTGCGCACAGACACACAGGCGCACCCCTCCTAAGTGCGGGGTGGGGGCACCTAGCCCCCAGGAGTGACAGGCGGGTCTGCATCGGCGTCCGGGAGCCTGGAGCGGGTGCAAGCCTCAGGGCCACGCAGTCCGCAGTTCCGCGGTGAGACCCGCGCGCCGGGAGCGTATTCCTCTGCAGAGCGGCCTCTGTGCTCAGGCGCCTGCGGCAGCCGTGACACTCCTGCGCCCCCTGGTGTTTCATCGCAGTGGCGCAACCCGGCCCCAGTTGCAGTTGGCTTGGCGGAATTGAGAGGAGGTTGGTGGGTTGTAACCCGGGTCAGCTCCCTGTCTGGACCAACACGGTTCCTAGCCTCCACTTTCCGTGAGAGCATTTGAGGCGGTGGGATGTGCCTGAACAGAAGGGTGAGTGTGGGTCTTTTTGCCAGCGACTTGCTGAATGACCTTGGTCAGATCCCCTCCCCACCTTTCTGGGCCTCAGTTTTCCCATATCCTGCTCAGGACTGCCAGGAGGATCAAGTCCGGAATGATGAGAAGGCAGACAGAGCCCCTTGGCAGCTCTCGGCTGTAGTCTGACCTGAATTCTTTCCACTGCACTGCTGTCACCTCTCTCTGTCACTTTCCCCCTCCCGATCCCAGGACGGTGACTCAGGGAGCCCCCAGCCTCCCAGCGGGTCCCCATTCAGATGATTCATCTGGGCCCTTTCCCCCTGGGGAGTGATTTCCTCAAAGTTGAGTCACTGAGCCCAGTCCTGGACACAGTCCAGGCACCTGGTACCAGCTTGGCAGAGTCCTGGCAGTCCCAATAGCTCAGAGGGTGACCCTCCATGACAGCATTGTCCCACCTTTCTGAGGCAGGGATCTAAATATGTTTCTTCCCCTATTGAAGCACTCAGTGGCTGGCTACAACCAGCACAATAAAGCCCAAACCCTCAGCCTGACATGCCAGACTCTCCAGTTCCACCTTGACCCAGCTTTGCTCCCACCTTCTCATCTGTACTTCTTACTCCACACAGATCAGGGACCCCTCATTCTCATCTCCAGACCTTTGCCCATGCCACACAATCCCCAGGCTTTGGGGCATCCTTTTCAGCCTGCCTATCATTCAGGGGCCGTTTGGAGGCATACCTCCTCCAGGATACCTTCCCCATTACTACCTTAGTCATCTCTGTGGCCCTTACTGTGTCTTTCCTGGGAACCATGTCTGGGATCTTGGAGAGAGGTGGAGGACAAGTGACATGGACCAAGTCAAAGTATTTTTACTGTATCTTTAAAATAGGGCAATCTGCCCTACTTAACACTGAAGAGAATATCATACAAGCTAAGATGTGTGAAGGCCTGGTCCCCAAAAGGGCCTTCCTTCCCTTTGGGGGCCTCAGTTTCCTCCTCTGCAAAAGGGGAGGAACAATGTAAGGGCTATGGTGAAGACCAAGTTCTGAGCCCCAATCCCAGTGCACAGTTAGTCTTGTCAAGTCTCAAGCATGTGTCACCAGCTCAGTCCTGGGCTTTCGATAGCCTGGGTAGGATGCCAGCGCCCAGGAGGTATCTGTTATTGGTCACTGGCCACAGCTACTTGTTTCTTAGGAGAGGCCCTATAAATCAAGACCCAACCCTGGCCTGGCACAGCTACCACTCTAAACAGGGCCTCCACATCACTCCACTGTTGAGTTATTCCTTAAATCTTACTTGAGTCTCTCATACTGCAGCTCAATGACTAGACTCCCAGATGCATGCTCTATGTCTCCCTTAACTCAGATTCTTTCTGTGTCTGTTTTTCAGATTCAAAGATCCCTCAGAGGATTTGAGTCCTAACTCTGACATAGACTTGCTGTGTGATTCTAGGCAGGCTGCTGTATCTCTCTGGGTCCCAATTTCCCTATCTGTGACATGTTAGCATACTAGGTTCAGTAAACAACCATATTTATTTCTTTTAGAGCTTAGTAGGATGTGGAGTCCTTTTGTAAACATTCTCTCATGAAATCCTTGAAATTCTCCAACCAGCCCCATCCCAGTGGAAGCAACCAAAGCTCCTCCATATTGCCAGGGGAATGGCCTTGCCGAGCTTTCACAGCTAGGAAGTGACCTCTGTTCCAAGATTAGTACTCCTCTATTCCCCAACAGATCCCTGCCCCCACTCCAGCTCTACATTCTGTGATACTGTGATGGCTTCCCACCCTGGCTCGCATTGGAATCACTTGGAAGCATTTTAAAAGGTTGTTGCCTAGAACCCTATCCCGGATACCTTTTAAATTCTCCCAGATTATTCCAATCTGCTGCCTGGTCTGAGAGTCATGGATTAGATGCATCTCATCCCTGGCTGACCTCCATTCCATGGAGACAAGCATCAGGGCTGGCCCCTGAGGGCTAAGTGTATATATCTGGGGCTGGGAAGCTTTGGCTTTTATGGAGTACTTATTATATGCCTCACATTTTATTTTTCAACAGTGATATAAAGCTGGGCCTATTATTAGTCATTTTACAGGAAGACTGAGGCACTAAGTCTAGAGAGACGGACTTACCCATAGTCACATAGCTAGTAACAGTGGAGCCAAAATTCAAATCCTGGCTCTCTGTTTTCAGTCTGGGCCTTAAATATGCCTTGCCTCTTAAGCAAAGGCTGGTAGAAAAAAAAATGGATTTACCTAGTTCTCTTTAGGATCCCAACAATGCAGTGGTTGAGAATCCTACATCCCCAGTCCCTGGACCTTCTGCTCAACTCTAACCTTAGGGGCCACTTGGAGCAGCACAGCTACCCCAGACTGGTATTTCAGGAAAAAATGACTCATTTGAGTCCTAGGCCCCCTTGATCTCAGGCCTCTTCCAGAAATCAGCCCCGCTTTGTTCCTAATAGTAACAACATTAATCATAATCCCACAAGTGGGCCCTGACCTTACAGAGCATCTCTTTAGGAGGCACTGCTTCAACTCCAAGTTATAAATAAGAAAACGAGGCTCTGAGAAGTAGAGACTCTTGCCCAAGCTCACCCAGCTGGTCAGTATAGAAACCTGGACCAGGTTACTGACTCCACACCCAGTATTCTTGACACTTAGAATGAACCTCTGGCATGCAGCTGAAGCCCTCCAAGGCAGAGTGGCTCTGGCCACATATACCCATTGCTCACACCTGCAGTGGCTCCCCATGATCTCCAACATCCAACCCCTCAGCACAGCACACAAGGCTCATCCCTGAGTGAGCTTCTCCTACCCCTTTGTACCATCGGCCATGCCTGACTCCTATAAGCTGTACCTTGCTTATTTATTTTATTTATTTTTTTGGAGGGGGTACTGGGGCTTGAACCCAGGGGCACTTAGCCACTGAGCCATGTCTCCGCACCCCCGCCTTTTTTTAGTTGTAGATGGACACAACATCTTTATTTATTTATTTTTATGGGGTGATGAGGATCGAACCCAAGCCCTCACATGTGTTGGGTAAGTGCTCTACCACTGAGCTACAACCCCAGCACCTCCAGCCCTTTTTCATATTTTATTTAGAGTCAGGGTCTCACTGATTTTGCTCAAGTCCTCGCTAAGTTGCTAAGGTTGGCTTTGAACTGGCGATCCTCCTGCCTCAGCCTCCCAAGCTTCTGGGATTATAGGTATACACAACCATGCCTGGCCTTACCTCCTTGCTTTTGCTCAACTATTCCTCTCCCATGTTGAATGCCCTTCCAAGGGCATATCTGCCTGTCAACATCAAGCATTTGTTCATTCATTCATGCTACAAGTATTTATTGAGAATGTACTCCCTACCAGGTACTGAGGATAAAGAACTTAAAAGTCAGATCTTCTGAGACACAAGAAGAAAACTCTGATCCAATGAGAAGTAGAACCACCTAGATCTTTCCAACAGACACCATCCTCTCCCTTCCTCACCCATCTCCAGCCCTCCCCAAGGTCTCCAATCCTTCCTTGCATCCCTCCACAGTCCTGCCCGGGCTGGGAACACTGTAGGCTTAAGTAAAAGATAGTTTCTATCTCAGCATCTCTCCATCTTTCATGATGGGCATGGCAGATCCTCAGTAGAGTCCAAGTCTAATCCCACTCCCCATGATCTTGCATCTTGCTTCTGCGAGTCTGTCTTGTGCCTGATGTGCACCTATCCTACTGCTGACCACGTTCAAACCCAAGAAGCCCAGGTTCAAATCCAAGCCTTTCCTGGGTGACCTCAGGCAAGGCTCGGGTCCCCTCTAACCTCAGACTTCTCTGCAGCTGTGAAGTTGGCCTGGTTCTTGTGGAGGGCCCAGGCAGCTGAGGTGGAGGGAGGCAGGATCCAGGCACACCAGGCCAAGGACTATGAGAAAAGACCAGATTTCAATATGGGAGGCTCCTCAGGAGACGGTTTGTGGCTCCATCTCTCCATGACATGGGGTGGAGCCCATGAACTAAAAGAGGGCCCCCTTGTTCTCTTTGGGGGTTCTGTACAATAACTGTCCTGAGGCTTCCTGGAAGGAAGCTGGCATTTCTGCAGCTTCTGCCTACAGATCTTGTCCTCAACACTTTAGCCCTGGTGTGAGCATGGGGGTGCACCTGGGCAGGGCCAACCACCCTTTGAGAGCTGTGTGTGTGTGCTCAGGTGTGTAAGGTTCTGCACCCAGGTCTGTGAGCATAAGTAGGAAAGTGGGAGAGGGTGTGAGCACAGTGAGTAAGTTTGTATCTTTGTGAGGGTGAGTAATACTTCCTTTATATACCCGCACTTATGTGTGAGCACAGTCACGCATGTGTGTCTACAGGAGTGTGTACATGTGTGTGCAGTTGTGTATGCACAAGTCTCCAGTATGTTGTGTGCATGCACTATGTGTGAATATGTGCACATGTTTGTATTCTAGTTCACAACTGACAGAGGTACTGCCCGTGGCCACTAGCATTGTGTCCACTGGCTGTGGCTGCAGTTGGAGGGGTGGAGACAGAGAGAGGAGGTGCTGGGGACAGTATGGGTTTCGGCTCTGGGTGGGCAGGGCCTCTCCTAGAGCCCTGGCATCAGCTCTGAGTCAGGAAGAGCACAGGCTGGGTGACCTGAGGCCCAGGGATGAGGGCACATGGGGTGGGTCAGCCACACATCTCATCATTTCCATGTTTTTGCATCTACATTTATCTTGTTTGCAGCAGATGGCCAGTTCTGTGGCCCTTCAAGGGGGAGGAAACCATCAGATTCTAGGACTAGTCCAGGACCTGCAGGACTTGTACAGGACTGAGGTCTGGGGACTAGACCTCGGCACACCTTAGGCCTCACTATCTGCTCCCATCATCCACAAACCCCAAGATCCTTCCTCTGCACAAGGCTGGGCCCTACACACCCATATACACACCCCTACACGCCATCAGAGCCTTTCCACAGACATGCACACACAACGTCCCTGACCACCCCCACACCCAGGGAAACAGGCCCCCTGGCTCTGACACACAGAGGCACAGGTGGGCCTCCCTCCCAATGCCCACCCTGTTGGAGTCACCTGTTCTATGCCCAGTGCTACCTCCTTTACACCAACATGGCTTCCCCTGCCCAAGGGGCTCAGTGGGAACCCTGGTCCCAACCTGGAAGCTGTTCTAGGACCTTAAGCCTAGGCCAGGCCTCCCCTCCCCCTGTCCACACTGCCTGAGGGCCACACTCCCCACTCCTCCAGCACTCCTACCGCTGGGGATGTTGAACCTCCCACGATGCTGTCAATTCAGGGGACAGGACTTTTTCCCATTACTGTCCCCAGCTTCTAGAAGTCCCCAACTAGAAGAATTACTCAAAAACCACATCAAGAATCATGGTAGAACCTTCCTGCCAGCCTGGTTTAACTCCCGTTTTGTGGGACTTACCTGACTATATTGGTTCCTCTCCCGCCCGGCCCTGTGTGCCTCCCCCATCAGACTGGGGCTCCTCTAGGCAGAGGCTGGGTCTGATTCAGCTCCATGTGCTCATGCCCAGCATGCAGCTGGACTCAGACAGCAAGAAGGGGACAGACCTGGGAGTAGGGCCGAGTACTCAGCAGAGCCCAGGGTGTAACAACCCCTCTATGAGGCTCAGGGATGTCTGGAAGGTGGGGCCGCCTAGGACAGCCACACCTCACTGTCCGAAAGAAGAGACCTCCAGACTTCCTTCTCTCTCCCATCTGAACCCCTTTCAGAAGTCACTCGGACTGGCCATCCAGCTCCTGCTTGCATACTTCCTGGGACAGGAAGCTTACCCTCTTCCCAGACAGCTCTGTCCCCTATGGGATGGCTGTGCCTGACTCCTCTCACGGCACCATCCTGTCAACCCTGAATCTCCTGAACCATGCATCCCCATGGGGAGCTGGAAGGGAGTCAGTCCAGCAGAAGGAGAGGCAGACCCCAGGGTTCAGAACAACTTAGCAACATTTCCAGCCTTGGGTAGACATGGGAAGAAGGAGCCCAGCCCAGCTCAGATAAAGGTTTACTACTTCCTGCCCCATCTCCTCCCCTCCTTCTGGCTCCTCCTGCCCTTCAGTCTGTAGGACTAGGAAGGGCAGCTCTGGCTCCCCTCAAGGAGTACCACAAGGAGATGCTTCCTCCTGAGCCCTAGCTGGAAGGCTGGGTGGGTGAACAGGGCAGGCTGGTCCTTGGTCAAGAGCCCTACCCATCAAGCTACCCAGTCCCCACTCACTACCACCAGCTATTCCTGGGTTGGCTGTGCTTCAGGAGTACCCAGGCTGCAATCAGACACCAACTCTAGTGCCCCTCAATATACACACACCCAGGGCCATTTAGAGCTGAGCCCATCAGAGATACTGAGGGGAGAAAATCTAAGCTTTGGGAACCGATGGCCCCATGCGCTGAAAACTCCCTGCCAACTCAGAAACCATCAAACAGGGAGGTCCCAGTCTGCGACCAAAGCTGCAAGAACTCTCAGAGCCTCATGTTCTAAAAAAAAAAAAAAAAAAAGATCACTTTCTATTATAATGTCCATTATTCAGAGTCTGTGCTTCTTACACTGT